AGAAAGGTTGCATGCCCCCCAGTCACTTGGCAACTGGTGTCAGACAGCTAATGTGTGTTTTTCACAATTTTGACTATATTCCTCAATACACTTTCTGACCCATACACCTTGTGTTGATCTCTCAGATTAAATGAAAAACATGCCTCCCTGGAGAGTCTACAGGTAATTGGAAATGGCTGGGGTACAGGACAGGTTGTATGTGTTTGGCATGGGGTGGGAGGACACAGCATGCATGGCTATGTGCCATGCTAGGGAGTTTGGACCTTATCAAGGAAAGGAGAGGAAACATGGAAGGATTTTAAATTAGGAAGTCACATGGTGAGATTTTCATTCACATGCATATTTTCATTTTTGAAACCTGTCATTGGCAGCAGCTGGAGGACAGGGAGTCTGGAGACAGGAACCAGCTAGAAAGTCACCGTAGGCAGCCAGGTGAGGCATAGTGGTAGGGGTAGGGAGGAAGAGGCAGGTTTAGGAAAGGCATAGAATGTGGGCTTGATGGGATCTGGTAGAATTGTATGTACGTGGCAAGGAGCCTGGGCTGCTGCATCAGTGGTGGAGTCAGGACTGCGGGGTGTCAATTAGGAGATACAGGACAAGAATTTGGACTCTGGGCATGTTGACGTGTTGAACTAAAGGACATGGGGATAGAGACTTTCAGAAAAGGTGCATATATAGGCTTGGGAGTGAAGTCTGTGCTCAGAAATTAATCTGACACTGCCCCCTGCACCCTTTGGGAAGTTCTGATACGTTTGTTTCTTTCTCCTACTCCTCCCCCAAAGAATCTTAAGTTGGTGCTAAAATCATAAGGCTGAATCTTCCAATGGAAGAAACAGAGGACTTAGCATGGTTTAAAGGCAACCCAAGGGGGAGAGAGGGATGCTGGAAAGGAGCCAGAGAGAGAGAGAGAGATACTGGAAAGGAGCCTGAGAGAGAAAGAGAACAATGAGAAGATCAGGAAAGCAAGGAGCAAGGAAATCATAAAGAAGGAAGCTGTCAAGAGGATCAGAGCTGCAGAAATCAGTGGAGATGAAAACAGACAGATCTTTGGATTTGACAGTGGGATATGTCATTGGTTGCAGAAGCTTTTCAATGTCAAAAGGAGGCAGAGGATCAGATTGTAGGGGGTCGCATGGATGTTCAAAGGTATAGAGCAGAGGTGATAACCGTTTTTAAATATTTATAATTTTCTTTGGCTGCCAATTTGGTTAAGTCTTTTGGGTACAGATGATAGAACACTGTACTCAAACTGGCCAAAGCAAAAGGAATTTACAGGCTCAAATACCTGAAAAGTCCAGAAGAATCAAGCCTTGTTTGATCTAAGGATATAAATGATATCAAGACCTGATCTCTCTCTGTCTCTCAGCTTTCTCTTTGTAGCTGGCTTCCTTCTTCAGCCCCATGTGGTGACAGGAAGGATGCTGAACACTCCCAAGTTTATGTCCTTCTAGATTAAAGTTCAGCAGAAGTGAGATCTTATCTCTTCCCTATAGATCCAGGATTCCTAATTGGATCCAGTTGGATTTTGTGCCCACACCTGAGCCAGTTACTGTGGGTAGGAAGCAGTGATTACTCAGATGACTGGATATAGGGTATGGGTCAGCTCCAGGCCAGCTCTGGGCCAGCCATCCTGGCTGGAAGAATTTATAGCCTTGATTGGCAAGGCCTGGGTCTCATATCCAATCCGGAGCTAGGAGTAGAATCCTAGCTGAACCATCTGGACTACAGTAAGGGAGGGATAGTCCTCAAAGTGGATGTGCTGTTCCTGGAGGCTGGAATGGATGCTCTACCTGGAGAGAAAATAGCCACTGTAGCTGTAGAGACTAAGATCAATGCATGGAAAGTAATGGTGGAAACACTGCTGCTTTTGGAGAGAGATGTTTCTGTGGATTATAGGAATAAAAGAGGCCAGCTATGGAGGGAGCAAGTTGGCTGTCACTGGGGGTTGTCCAGGCAATCACTATGAATAGATGCTAACAGCCCATCCACACTGCATAAATAGAAAAGGTAACCTGGAAGGCCATGTTTTTCAAACCAATTCTCAGTGACACAGCAATGGAATACATGTTTAAACCCCAGTATACTCTTAAACATGTGTATGAAACTGCAGACAATTTTGACAACATAGCATATTTCCTTACTGTGTGACATGTGTATATCTTCTGTTGCAGAATCCCTGTTGTGTGCATCCCACATCATTGTTTTCATGTCAAACCAATGGACCGTAGTTTATAAGGTCAAAGGGCTTAGCTGGACGAGGTTTGAAGCTGGTGTTTGAGTCTGACTTTTCAGACGGTGACGGTGGCAGTGGTCAAAAATGAGGACGCTGGGGCGCCTGGGTGGCTTAGTCGGTTAAGCGTCCAACTTTCGCTTAGGTCATGATCTCACGGTTCGTGGGTTCGAGCCCCGCATCGGGCTCTGTGCTGACTGCCAGCTCAGAGCCTGGAGCCTGTTTCAGTCTGTGACTCCCTCTCTCTCTGACCCTCCCCTGCTCACGCTGTCTCTCTCTCTCTCCTAGAAATAAATAAAAAATATTAAAAAAAAAAGTTAAAAAAAAAAATAAGGACGCAAACCTGTTCTACTTGTGAGGGCTCCTGATTCTGTGTGGTGGCATCTCTGGCTGTGAGAGCGGCTCTGGACCTGTGGGGGTGGAGTGGCCTTCTTTGTGGGCCCACAGGGCAGTGTTGGAGGGAATTTACGGGCTGGCCATGGGCCGGAGGATCTTGGAGGCAGCCCTGGCAGGCTGTCTGTCTGGAGGCTGGCAGCAGCTCCCTCTGTGCCAGCAGCAGTTTACATTGTGAGCTGAGTGTGTGTGCATGCATGTGTTCTCTGCCAGGCCTTTATATTGAAGATGAGGGAGTGGCTTTTAAAAATAACATATTTTTGACTTGAAACAAGTCAAGGCAGAGAGTGGAGACAATTAGAGACTGACATCCTGTTTAGTCATCTCTCCAGAGAGCTCTATTTTCAGAACTGTTCCATAAAGGTTCACAAGTGGTATTAAGATAGTTGAGGGGATATTGTTAACTAAGTGGTAGTCATGATGTAAGTAGCCAGTTTGAACATTGGGGTGATCTACAGTGTGGTAACACCTTGACAGCAGGTTTTGTGAAGAAGGATGGGGGGGGGGTTGTCATAATAGGCTGTTGTACAGGTGAAACTTTCTGAGTCAGAACAAAACAGGCATCTTTTATTTTGAAAAAGTGTTTAATTAGAGCATGGCATTGAAAAATATGTAAGGTCAAGACATTCCCCTCCCACCCCCCCAGCCTCTGTCACCTATGGGCACAGTAAACTGTAAAGGCTCTTTGAGCTCATCTGATAGAAGCCATGCCAGGAATGCTGAATAGTGATGTCACAGACTTTTGAATGAGGACAGTGAAGGCTGGGGTGGGTAAGGACCTTGCCCAGAGACCTGAACCATCTGGGTATGTCAGGCTGGAGGCCATGTCCTCACCTAGTTTGGACAGTGTACCATATGATTTGCTGCTTATTGGAATGTAATATTCTACCAGAAATGACCAGCTGTGTCTGTACTCAGCTTCTCTGGACCTCTCTCTCTTAGATGAAAAGTAAAAGGCAGAAATGGAGCCATGGGCTGAATCCACCAAGATTTTGACAACTGTAAATTCATGTACTGGGGTCCATAAGAACCTCACATGTTGGGATGAGCACTGGGTGTTATATGGAAACCAACTTGACAATAAACTATTTAAGAAAAAGAAAAAAACAAACAAACCTCATGTCCAAGGCCCAGAGGTGTCCTAGAGTAGTTCAAGGTTAGCAGGTGGCAAGAAGAGGGCAGAGCTTGTCTACTTGGACTAGTGTGATCAGAGCAGCTCTAGAATCTGGAGGCATGCTGCATGAGTGAGGGTCTTCGGGAACTGGAGTATGTGCGGAGGACAGGACCTAGCCCAGAGACTGCAAGCTGCCTCATTTGCAGAGTGGATGTCTTGATATCTCAGAGCATAGATTAAGAGCTTTAAAGGATGGGAGCACCTGGGTGGATCAGTTGGTTAAGCATCTGACTTTGGCTCAGGTCATGATCTCACGATTCATGGGTTTGAGCCCCATATCACGCTCTGTGCTGACAGCTAGGGGCCTGGATCCTGCTTTGGATTCTGTGTCTCCCTCTCTCTCTGCCCCTCCCCTGCTCACACTCTGTCTTACACGAAAACAGAAACAAAACAAAACAAAAAAAACTTTAAAGGATGTTGACACTCCGTGAATGAACAAGAGCAGTGAATGCGAAGCTCCTGAATTGCCTTCCCTGGTGCTTCCTAAAGATAAACTACACTTAGAGAAAATGGTAGAGATGGAAACAGTATTCTACTTTTTACTTCCTAAAAGGAAAGGTTGCAATTGACCATGCCACATTTGTTCATTACCTTGTATGTTGCCATTGTTTCTCTATTTCATAAGCCTGCCATGTGGCTCTGGCATCGGCTAGGAATGTCTCAGAAACAGTGACCAAGTTTTTGTGTACTTCTCAATAATATCTCAAAGAGCCAAAATGGAAGAGAGTACAATTCAAGGCCAGGAAAACTTATTGAAAGAATGGTTTCTCTTAGATTTGCTTTGTTATCTTCGTAGTTTCTTTCTTTCTTTCTTTCTTTTTTATTTATTTCTAGGAGAGAGAGAGAGAGAGACAGCATGAGCAGGGGAGGGTCAGAGAGAGAGGGAGTCACAGACTGAAACAGGCTCCAGGCTCTGAGCTGGCAGTCAGCACAGAGCCTGACGCGGGGCTCGAACCCACCAACCGCGAGATCATGACCTAAGCGAAAGTCGGATGCTTAACCGACTAAGCCACCCAGGTGCCCCTATCTTCGTAGTTTCTTGTGCATTCACTTGTTTCTTACTCCTCTACTGTTCAATGAAAGACTGAGGACTGATTTATGGCTGTGATTTGCACATGTAGACCTCTTTGTAAAGAAGTATTTGAGCCCCACAAAAAGTACTTTACAATTAGAATATAACACATAATTCTTTTCTCTTTCTAGGTGGATCTGGAGCCAGAAGGGAAAGTATTTGTGGTAATAACCTTAACAGGGAGCTTCACTGAAGGTAAGGATAAGTTTTGGATATTTCTGGTACAAGTTAGTTCATACTCAGAAAGAATTTCTAACATGGAAATTATAAAAAGAGCATTTTGTAAAAGACGCTGTAAATTTTTTTTATGTTGGGTGGGCTGGTGTTTTGTTTCTAAGGATCTATTAGTTTGAGTTGCCAGATTCAGTATATTTGCTAAATCTGGCAATCTTGTGATTAACATACTCACTGAGTTTTATTTTCTTCATCATTATCTTAGCTGAATTGGTTCTTGCCTCTTTTCATTCATACCTATTAAATTGTACTTTAGATTTTTGGCTTGGGGCCAACATTTTAGTTTGCCCCTGAATGTGTTATGTGTTAAAAATTTAAGGATCGTGTTCCCTTTGTTATTATCTTTATCTCATTCTCTCCTTTAAAGGATTCTATTCCTCTTCCACCTCCCATTCCCTAATTTAAAAAAAAAATGTAAAATTTATATACAGTGAAATGCACAAATCATAAGTGAAGAATTTGAGTTTTGGCAAATGCACACAACCATGTAACCAACACCCCAATCCAAAATAAAGAACATTTTCACCACTCTGAAAGTTCCCTTGTGCCCTTCTTACCCAGTAAGTCTCCCGATGCAATAAACAGGATGTTTTGTTTTGTTTTTCTCACCATAGTTTTTTCTATTCTTGAAGCTTATATAAATGGAACTACATACTCTGTTCCCTTTTGTGTCTGATTTCTTGCTCACAGCATAATTTTGAGCATTCAGGTCATCACATGCATCAGCATCCTATTCCTTTCTACTGCCAAATATTCCGTTATATGAACGTAGTACAATTTGTTTACCCATTCTCTTCTTGATGGACATTCAGAGTCTTCCCTGTTTTTGGTTATTATAAAAAATGCTGTTATGCCCATTCTTGTACATAAATTTTTGTTGATGTACACTTTAATTTCTCTTGAGTAGGTCTGTAGTGATGGAATTGCTGGGTAATAAAGGAAATACATGTTTGACTTTATAAGAAACTCTTAAATGTTTGGGGCACCTGGGTGGCTCAGTTGGTTAAGCATCTGACTTCGGCTCAGTTCATGATCTCACAGTACATGAGTTTGAGCCCTGTGTCGGATTCTGTGTCTGCTTCAGATTCTGTGTCTCCCACTCTCTCTCTGACTCCCGACCCCCACTCCTGCTCACTCATGTATTCTTTCTTTCTCTCTCAAAAATAAATATTAAAAAAATTTTAAGAAACTCTCAAATGTTTATCTAAAGTGGTTGTATTTTTATATTCTCATGAGCAATGTTCTGAGCATTCCGATTATCCCATATCCTCACCAACACTTGGTATGGTCATTCTCGTTAATTTTAGACATTCTGGTGGGTATAAAGTGATACCTTGTTTTAATCTGCATTTCCTCCATGTTGAATACTTTTTCATGGATTGACTGGTCATTTTCTTCCCAAGTGCGAGTTCAAGTCTTTTGTTTTCTGAAAATTTTTTTTTATTATTGATTTATAGGATTTGTTTATATTTTTTAGATAAGTACCCTTTGTGAGAAATATGTATTGTGAATACTTTCTCCAAGGATGTGGCTTGTCTTTTCACTTTCTTAGAAGTGTCTTTGAGCAGAGGTTTTAAATTTCTCTGAAGTCCAGGGACGCCTGGGTGGCTCTGTTGGTTATGCATCCAAATCTTGATTTTGGCTCAAGATCTCACAGTTATGAGATCGAGCCCTGCGTCAGGCTGCGGGCTAGTGTGGAACCTGAATAAGATATTCTTTCTCCTTCTGCCCCTCCCCTATGTGTACTCTTTCTCTCAAAATAAATAAATAAATCAATGTTTAAAAAATTTCTCTGAAGTCCAATTTATCAATCTCTTCTTTCATAGTTTTATATATTTTTTATCCTCCTCAAAAAATCTGTCATGGTGTCACAAAGATATTCTCCTGTTTTAGAAGTTTATAGGCTTAGCTTTTATGTTTAGATCTGTTATGTTATATTTAGGTCTTTGTTCCTTCTTTAAATTTTGTTTGTTTTATTTAATTTTGAGACAGAGACAGAGCACAAGTTGGGGAGGGGCAGAGAGAGAGGGAGACACAGAATCTGAAACAGGCTCCAGGCTCTGAGCTGTCAGCACAGAACCCAGTACAGGGCTCGAACCCACGAACTATGAGATCATGATCTGAGCCGAAGTTGGACGCTTAACCAACTTGCCACTGGTTGAGCCACCCAGGTGCCCCTGTTCTTCTTAATATTTGTGTGTGGAGGGGTCGACATTTCTTTTCCCCGTTCTACAATCCAGTTGTTATACTACTGACCATTTGTTGAAGACTTTAATTTTTCCATTGAATCACCTTGGAACTTTTGTCACCAATCAATTAATTGACCCCACTGTGGATCTATTTAAGGGTTATCTGTTTCGTTTCATTGATCTATTTTTCTATCTTTATGCCAATACCACACCATCTTCATTGCTATTGCTTTATAGTAAGTCTTAAGGCTAAATAGTGTGAGTCTTCCAAATGTGTTCTTTTTGATTGTTTGAGGGTTATTTTAGTTCTCAGTATTTTAAATTTTAATGTCAGTGTTAGAGTCAGCTTATCAATTTCCACACACAAGCCTGTTGGATTTTGAATTAAAGTTGTATTGAATCTATAGGTCAGTTTGAGGAGAACTCCCATCTGAACAGTTGTGAACATCTGCAAATACATAAACATGGCATATTTCTCCATTTACTGATGGTTTTTAATGTTTCTTATCTACATTAATATTACCAATTCTACATAATTTTCAATATAGAGATCTTGCACATATTTTTTAAATGTATTCCTATGTATTTTAAACTCTTGCTGCTACTATAAATGGTATTCAAAAGTTTTTATTTTGAAATTGTTAGCAGTATATAGAAATGAATTGTTTTTTTGTTTGTTTCTTGACTTTGCATCCTATGGCCTTAAAAAAATTCAGTTATTCTAGTAGGTTTTTTTTGGTAGATATCTTAGGATTTTCTCTGTAAATAATCATGTTGTCTATGAATAAAGGCAGTTTTCTTTTTCTTTTCTAATATTTATGGCTTTTATTTCCTTTTCATGTCTTATCGTGCCTGGAGGCCTCTCAGACCTCCTTGTCTCATAACTAATTTTAGGAAGAAGGAATTTAGTCTTTCCTGACTAAGTATAATGTTAGGTATATGCAGTTTGTATATACTTTTCATCACAATTGAGGAAGTTATTTCAAGTCCTAGTTTTCTGTTAAGTTTGGTTTTTCTTCTTTTTCTTTTAAATCAAGAATAACTGTTAAATTTTGGCAAGGGCTTTTTCTTAAGGTTTTTCTCCTCTGTTCTTTATTTTTCAGCAAGCAGCTGAATTACTGGTTATCACCTTAAAACTGTGAAGGCTTTTGAGAGTGGGATTTTCTTTTTAACCTTCCCCCCTTAGTACTGGGACAAATTCCCTGGTCCTGGAACATAGTTTTCACTCATAAGGCATAACCAAGTTGGAGTTTCAGTAGAAAGCCCAAGGTCCCTTTAACTTTGTGGGATTAGAGTCTCAAACTCACTCTCCTGCAGTGAGAAACAGAAATCTCATCTCCTTTCTTTCAGCCTTCTAGTTCTTGCTTTTTGTGTACCTCTTCGAATCTCTCATTCACACGCACAGATTGGAGGAGATTATATATTTGGGGATTCTTGTCCCTGCGGCCTTCTCATTTCCAGGTTTTCTCTCAGTTTCCAGTCATCTGGTAGTTCTGAATCTTGTCATTTCACTCCTCAAGTCAATGAAACTGTAGGTTTCTGTTCAGTTCTGTTGATTAGACTTTGCAGTGGGCAGAATAATCTTGGGATTTGGCCCATAAATAATGGAGCTTGACCAGTGCAACTTTCTTCTTTCACGTGTCAGATTCCCTCCAATTTCTGTCTTTTGGGGGACCTGCTCTCCAGTGTTTTCAACTAGTTGTTTTAAGATATATTTTCTGGAGGCTTTTATTATTTTTGATGGGAGGGTTAGCCTATTAAAAGCCACGCCACCATTACTAAAATCCTTGTGAAGATTTTTAAGCATGTGGCTTAGTAGTTCATCCATTTGGTGTTGGCATTTTGCAATTGGTAACGCCTTTGAAGTTTGGTTTTCTCTCCTCTCAGCTGACTGTTATTTGTGTGGGCGAACTGTTTTAATGTTAATGTTTACTTTTTCTGTCGTCTCAATTGTTGCATCTTATTGTTTTGCTCCAGTATTGAAATTAGCAGAAATGTGGGACACTTGGACATGAAAAAGCTGTCCGGATTACAGTTTGATCCGCTCACAGACCTTTTAGAGGGTTTGTGAGAAAAATGAGTCCACTGATAGCTCAGTCAAAAAAAAATAGGAATGTGGTATTACAGAAAACTGTTGCTAGAACATTCTCACAGCACATGGAACATGGCCAAAACCGTGGCATGAGAGAAGAGACAGAGTGGGAAGTAAGTGAGATTCTCAGTGTGTTGAACTACCTTTCTGCACTCAGTTACATGGGAGGAAGGCCATACACATTAGACCACATCTGGTTGTGCTGTAGTCATTGTGTGACTGACTTTTTTGAGCATTATGTCACCTCTGTAGGACTAAATTAAGTTTCTATCTTCTTTAACTGTACACTGGCAACACTAGAACACTGACACTGGAATACTTGTGGATGTTCTTATTATATTAATTTATTAGCTTTAATGATAAGAAGAAAGGAATGCCAAATATTTGTAAGGCTAAGTTCTTACCAGGTCATTGAAAGGGTAGTCCTTTTAGAGGTGACCCTGGGTAAAATTGTGAGGCTGGCCTAGTTCCTCATTGGTAAATCCTACCTCCCCTATAAGTTAGTTCTTTTTGCTCTCTGCCTTTCACTGTGTCTTGCTCCAGTAAGAGGCCTAGTGATCTCCTCTCTCTAGGAACAGTTGCCAGTAAGGAAGATAGTGAATTCATGGATGAATTCACACTGAAGTGATAGTGATCCAATATCTTGTTACACACCTCTTAGGTGTGGCTGCATATTTTAA